ATAGCCGTGGGATTCTTGCGTCGATGAATCCCTCCTCCTCCATGAGATGCTTCATCTCGTGCGCCATTCGGACATATGGAAGGGGAGTTGATGCAATACCTATGCCATCTCCAACTCGCTCATCAAGGTACGTAATCCTATCATGGGTAAACAAACCGTGAAGCGGTTCTTACTTGGTTTCGACCCTCTGTCCCCGCGAACAGTCACTTCCGAGGACTCTCTGGTTGGAGGGGGGCAACTGCCGACTGCTGTGCTTGGAATCCGAGCCGAAGACGGCACAGCGAGCTGACCTATTTGGACAGACGTCGGTCGGATCTGGACAACGCACTGCTGGGCTCTCTCCATGAGCCACTTGGCAAATTGCCGGTCGGCAACAGCCACTTTTGACGTTGCGCATTTCGTGGTTCGCGATGAGAGGCCTACGGCAAGATGTGTTGCCTCGGCTCACGTCGCTGCGTCGGCCGGCCCATGCCAATCATACGGCAGGCGCCGGCCTTGGAACACACAAACAAGCATGACTTCCATTCGCTTCGATTACGTTCTTCGAATCTACTTTGCCTGCGAACCATAGCTGGCTAATTCGCACTGATCTGGCCGAAGAGCTCTGGGGTGTTTGCCCAGCTTGCCTCAATCTGTGGCTATTTTGTACATAGCAAGGGCCAAACAACAGCAAAGCCACTGTACCCTGTCGCCGTAATGGCGTGCCATTACAATGGATGAGTCTGGATTTGTAGGTCGATTATTTAAAGACGCTTCGTGCCACTGTGCCCGCCATTACATTGACCACCTCGTTTCCTCCAAGATGTCTGCTCCTGTGGATTTGGCGCAGGAGGTAATGTTTCGTTTCGTAGCGGCCGCTTAGCATGTACACTAACAGCGAAGAAGTTGCACAGCTTCTGCAATCGTCTAGATTCCGATTTTGACGCTGTCAGCTCCTTTCTCGACAAAGACGTTTCATTTAGAGATAAGTTCACAGCCGTGATTTCGAGGTATATGGACCAACCCCGGACAGCATCTGATTTCGAGCCCAATCCTGAACCGACACATGCCGCAACGGCCGTGTCTCCCTGTAAATGCGATGGTGAGGCAGGCTCTGGATCAGATGGAAATGTACCTAGCCGCTTGCCAGCTGCCTCCGTTGAAGCTGATCCTGGAGCTGTCAGAGGCGCGTCGCCAAAGCGCAAATTCGTAGAGGCTGATGGGGCTGCCGCTCCGACTAAGCGAATGAAAGACAGCAGAGCTGGACGCATCCCACCGATCGTCGCCAAGATGGAGAAAATCGGTAGCCCAGAGACTCTCGTACGCCTGTGGGCCAGCTGCAGGGCATCGAGGACTCGAGTCCAGAGCATCGTCAGTGGGACGCGTCAGATCCTGCCTGTCGAACCGGGACGTGACATGGACGGCCCATCTGTGTTGGAGCGACTTGATTCCCTCAAGGAGCAAGCGGCCGCAGCGAGTTCAAGCGTTCACTTTTCCATTGCTATCAAGCGTTTCCATCATGTTCAGATGGTGCACTTATACAACAGGGCGAGAGACCTGGACGAGACGATTGTCGAGGCGATAGAACAAGGCAGCGCATCCCAGTCGCTGGTTGACCAATTTGCTGAGAGGCTTTTCTCCAGCGACGCGTCCGCAGTAAAGCAGGCCGGCCGGGGCGCGGACCTGAAGAGGAAGCCGCTGAAGAGCGCCTTTAACAGGTGGCTGACCCTCGGGAATAAGCTGACCACACTCGTTGCCAGGTACGGGTGCGGGGTCCTTCTACTCCTACCGGGCAATTTGAAGAACGAAGAGTTAGTGCGCAAGACCGTCTGTTTGGTGAGGTACTAATTTCGTTAGCATACGACGACTGCGCGATGATGATCTCCTCGCGGTGCTGGACCGGATGGATGCGCGACTCCGATTGAAAGACAGCGTTCAAGCTCTCACAGAGTTGCTTCCCAGTCTGGCCACATGGGGAATCCTGCCTGAGCCGAGGATTGGCCTGGAAACGTGTGCATCTGCGTCGCAAGTTCTAACACTAGCTTCGGAGCCCATGTTTCTCGAGAGTCTGTTGTCTTGGTGTGCTGGCGCAGTATCCGACGCCGAACTCGCCCTGTTGACGCAGCCCGCTTGCCATCCGGCGATTGAAAAGCACGGCAACACAGCCGATGTGAACGATCTTTCATTCCACGCCGACTAATTTTGTCAGCTTTCAGTGAACGTCCAGACAGCTAGCACATTCGCATGACCACAAGTTGGTGAAGCAGCAGACTACGCTGGCGAACCGGCGGTGAACCGGCGAACTGAGAGGGGCAAACGAGACAATTTGATCTTTGGAACCGATGATGGATACGGCGCTCCAGGAGCATTCCACCAAGTTGACTGCACAAACAGCGGTTCTCTGACTGGGAGCAGAGATTAGAGCTAGCCGAAGACAATATCAC